CACCTCATCCAGGGTCTCCCTCTCCTGCACTATCCCTACTAGTAACATACTTATGTAAGGTTCTGATTCTTCAGGGACCCTCTGGCTCTCCTCTCTAGCCTTGTTTCAGACATCTGCCCTCTGCAATCCCAACATTTCTCTCAAGTAGATTACTTTTTTAAAAAATTGTGTTTTAATGAAGATTTGCAGAGAGTATTTTTTTCCTGCTCTCTTCTACAGCCTATCTTCCCCTTCCCACCTCTGCAGGAGGTGCAATTTTCTCCAAAAGGAAAACCCTTCCCTCTAATTTCCCCCTCTCGGAGAAGCTTATAGACCCTTGTATTCTCATCTTTGATGCCATTTCCTCAAAGAAACTTTTCTTTATCACATACTTGCAGCACCTACAATGATTTTTTTTTTCTCTTCTTGATTCCCAGTAACTACGTTTAGTGCCTTTTGGAACTTGTCTTGTTTTCTTTTGTGTCATATTTATTTGAGTATTGGGAAATTTGTGTTTGTTGGAGGTTCTTTACATACGAGTTCATTCTCCTCATCTTTGTATGGTAATACTAGGAAAAAGTTTGTAGGCTATTTTCAAGATCACAAAGGCCCAGCTTACATAATCTCTTTTCTTTTTTTCTTTCTTTTTTCCACCATAGCATGTTGTGGGCATTACTAAACTGTTGACGTGAGGGGGCAAAGGAGCCCTGCCAATTTAGGAAGCGCAGCACACCCCAATTCCGTGGACCTAACACTTCTTAGTCAGATTCAACATACAGTCCTGGAGATTTAGTGACAAGAAGCTGCACTACAATTCCAAAGGCACTTGGTTTGAAACCACGAGCTGATCCGTGAGAGAAACATGGCCCTTATTTGTCCATCATATCCACCTACCAGGTATGTTTTCCGTAAGATAAATTTTCTCTAACTTAAACTCTTTGGAGAGGAATAGGATGCTTGAAAAGGAATTCTAAAACATTATATATACACACATGTGTGCATGCACAAAGGAGTGTACTATATATATTGTTCCTATACATCTATAAATGTACAAACATATAGATTTTAAAAAATCAAACCCACTGCCATCAGTCAATTCTGACAGATGATTACCTACCACATGGTTTCTGAGGCTGTCTCATCTTTCTTCCACAGAGTGGTGGGTAGATTCAAAACATCAACCTTTTTGGTCTGCAGCCTACCACATTAACTGCACTATTAGAGCTTCTATACATATACATGTTGTTGTTTGTTATGTGCCGTCGAGTCGTTTCCAACTCATAGCGACCCTATGCACAACAGCTCTAAACCCTGCTCTATCCTGCACCAACTGCACCGCCTCTGACACACCCATCCCGATTAC